TATACTAACACAAAAATTAGAATTAAAAAATAAGTGAATCAGTGCAGGGTGATTATCTGATAACTTGAGAATCAGGAAGAAGTGAATGCTTGTGGCCCGTTGCTAAACAAAGAAAAGCATTGGACTGTGCATTAGAAACCATATGTTCAAATAGTCAAGGTGGAATTTTCCTACATCACAGAGTAGAGAGGTATTGAGTATTTCCTTCAGAAGTGAGACCTTACTGCTATAATCTATGCTGGGTCTGTAGCAGCAGCATCATTTCACCATTAAGCAAAAATCCCATTATTTTTAGGTTCCATAATCTCTAATTCCTCCAAAATCTTAAACCTATTCACTAAGACTTATATACATCAGTACAAAATAATACTGATACCTACCGAAGGGTCATTAGACATTTCTATGTGATAATCAACATCTCTAGTTTGAGTGAAATGGGAATCAGACTATCAAACTCTTTGTGGTCATTCAGGAATTAATACATAACGGTCTAAGTCCGAAAAGTACAACTTTGGGTAAAATGCAGCAGAGATTCCCTCTCACTGAAATAATAGTTTTGTCTGTTAGGAAGTATAGAAGTAATAATTAATTGGAAAATTGTCTTAAGCTAAATAGAGGAGCAGGATCTAAAATACTACACAGTTAGAAATACTTAAAAGTAAAATATCCATAAAATACACTAAGTCTAATGCCTTCATTCCAAGTCTAACTATTTTTTATTCTCACCAATTTCCATTAAACAGGGAAAGGAGCAGGGAGGAGAGAAAGCATTTGAAAAACTGCCAGAGTAAAAAATCCCATAATGAAATTTTGCTCATTCTTGGAGAAATGAAGTAGAATTAGATGCTTCAGTGGTGGTGAATTCTAGAATCTGGGTAGCTGCCAGTAAATGAAGCTTTTCCATAATGTCAAATGCAAAAGCTATCTGATATCAACATATTGAGCTTGAGTTTTTAAATTCCTATTTCCTTACACCAAATTGTTTGAAACCTTTGAGATAAAAACTTCAATAAACTAGTGTTCCAAGCTTTTAATATTTCAGTCCCTTGAGCAAGCATGTCAGATTAATCTTCAAATTGCAATGGGCAGAAAGAACATTCAACCAAATTCTTAAACCCATGTCTCTCTCAAAGGATGTTAATAATGTAAGCAGTTTCATTGGCTATTAAGATGTCAAACTTTCCTAGTTCTCAGCAGTATCACTATTTAACAGGGGGAGGGGGGGAAGGCCATTCTATCCTGAAAGTAAGGGATTTTACTTACTATATCTTTGTGTCCACTTAGCATTGAGCACATTGCCAGGCACACGGTAGGCATTTAACAAATACTTTTTGAATGAGTTGATGGATTGGCCTGGGGGAAAGTGGAAATCTTGCTGAGAGCAGCATTCAAAATCCTGGCATTGCTCAGCAACAAAAACCATTTCCAGAATTAGGGTTATCAAGGTAGGAGCAGGAATTTGAACATGTATCTTCCAAGTGCCATCAAGAGGATGGTTTCCTGAGCTGGCGAGCAGCCACCTAAGAGCCACTTACAGAGGAATCAGACTCCTCTTCAGCCTCACCATGCCTGAAAACTCCTGCCCTGCCTCTCTACCCCCAACTCCCTCCTCTGTCTTTTACTGGACTTGGGTTTCCACTCACACAAGTTAAGTACAAGCTTCTACCTCGCTGATCGAACTCAGGCCTCCTCGCCATTCCAAGGTTTTCCAAGCATTGCTCAGAGGGACGCCACACCACGCTAGGCACAAGGAAGGAGACACACAAATGGCTCCCCACACATTTGAAGGAAGCAAAGAGGGCGAAGGCGGGGGGTGGAGGGGATGGAGGGGGGTGTCTTCAAGACCCGGGAACTATCCAGAGGTTTCTTCTCGCCATCCCAAAGCCTCTGCCCCCACCTCTGAGAGACGCTGGAGGAACTACCAGCCCAACCCGCCCAGACAGCGCAGGGGCAGGGCCTGCGGCCAGGGGTCGGGATTGGGGAGAGAGGGGCAGGGAGGTGGCGGGGAGCCCGACGGGCGGGGACGGTACCTGGTGTGGCTGTGGTTGCGGGGAAAGTCTTTCTTCTCCATGATGGCCGGCACGCAGTTGGTGAGCTCCGTCCAGTCGGCGTGCAGCCCGCAGCTCCAGCCCGTGGAGAAGCGGGAAAAGAGCCAGGTCTCCTTCTTGCCGGGCCGGTGGCAGGTGCACTTCTTCTGGCCCGCCTTGCAGCTGCACGGCTGCTCCAGCCGGATGTTCTTCACCAGGTGCCGGCCGAACGTGGTGCCCCCGGTCTTCTGGATGTGCAGGAACACGATCACGTCGCGCCCTTTGATGTTGAAATCCACGAAGCGGGTCAGGTCCTTCTGGGTGAAGTTGAAGCGCGGCACGAACCGAGGCAGAGAGCCGTGGTCGGGGGCCTCAGGGTCCGGCTCCTCTTCCTCCTCCCCCTCCTCCTCCGCCTCCTCCTCCTCCTCCTCTGGGTCCCCTGGCTCATCGTCGTCGTCTTCGGGCGCCACGGCCCCCCGCAGCCCCTCGGGCGGCCCCCGAGGCGGCGGGGGCAGCTGAGGACGCCGCTCCCCGTCTTCGAGCGGCACCTGCGTCCGGCGGGCGGGCCCCGGGGCGGCGGGCTGGCCGGCCTCCCCCGCGCGGGGCCGCTCCGCGAAGTTGGCGCAGGAGCTGGTGCAGGAGGGGGACACGTACTGGTACATGATGACCACGAAGAGGAGGGTGAGCACGGGCGTCAGCAGCCACTTGTTGAACCTTTCATCCATGGTCCCGTCTCAGGCCGGCAGTCTCAGCGGCGGCGGCAGCGGCGCGGACGGGCGTCCGCTCGGAAGTTTCGGGGACTCAGGGGCGCGGCTCCGAGCCCGCCTCTCCTCCATGCCCCCGACGCCGAGGCGAGCGGCGGGCGGGCGGCCCCGCGGCACCCCGGCGCTCGAGACGGACGGAGCCGGGCCTTCGGACCGAGCGGGGCGGCGGGCGCCGGCGCGTACGGTGGCGGCGGCGGCGGCGCGGGGCGCCCTGCGCTCCCGGGAGCGCCCGGCTCGGCCCGCTTCTGGCTCCCGCCGGGGCGCGGGGCGCGCTCTCAGGCGACTCTGGGCATCCCGCCGCCCGCGCTCGGGCGCTCAGGCGCTGGGGAGAGCGGCTCCGGTCCGGGACCTGCCCCGGGCGGCCGGGCGGCCGGCAGCTGCGGCCGCGAGCGCGGGGCTTGCATGGGGCTCGCCGGGGCGCGGGCCAGGGGCGAAGG